ACCCATCAAATGTAAAATTTCAAACATACACGCCATCATGAAACATGTTCATCATGAAATTGATCATGGAGACAGTGGAATGAAGTTTCTCTTATCATCCCTATGCACATATGAAACTTAGGGAACTTCTTGAAATGTGTCACTGACTGGGAAAACCAGAGCTCTACACAGTGCCTTTTATTACTACAGGGACATACATGTCCACTCATGTAACACTGAACCAGTGAACACACTAATAGAGCACCTTGCATATCTGGCTCCACTAATTGTCACAATAAGCTCAGGTGCACCTGCTTAGTATATTTTCTCATTACAAAGAGTAACTAAAAAATGCTCAGCAAAAATATAACAAGTCGGGGCACCTGGGTGGCTCATTCGTTAAGCATCTGCCTTAGGCTCAGGTCACAATCCCAGGGTCCTGGGATCAAGCCCCACATTGGGCTCCCTGCTCAGCGGGAAGCCTGCTTCTCCCTCTCTCACTTCCCCTGATTCTGTTCCCTCTCTTGCTGTGTCTCTGTCAAATAAATAAATCAAATATTTTAAAAAAAATTTTTTTAAACATATAACATAATTTAGTTTTTGAGTACAGTTGATAGTGATTTGAACTTCAAAAAAATCTCTTACAGAACTTTATAAGACTCTAAATAATTTACTTTTATTTTTTAGTGACTGTACAATCAAAAGAAAATGAAATACTGAGGCTGACACATTTGTGTTCGATGTAAGGTATATCTAAAAAAGCATTCAACTGTTAAAAACGTTTGAATACACTGATCTCATCCAACATGCTCATTTTACAGTTGAGAAAAAAAATCTAAGAAATGAGGAAATCAAGTGACTTACTTATGGTCATAGATACAGAGAGATAGAGGTGGAATTAGAATTTTCATTACACTACATGGTCCTATTTAACAAAGTTCTTGTTCTAGAATTAAGTAAGGCTTCTATTAGGAGAATTTTACTTTCTCCCTAACACCTTACAAACTTATAGATTTATTTCACACAACTGTTAATTGAGGCTAAGGTATTATGAAGGCTCAAGTATTATGAAGTCTGTACCATATCCAATGTAGCTTACATTCTGAGAAGATAAGTAATGCTGAAAAATTACAATGATAGATTTTTATAAAAATGGGAGAAAGGGATACAAAGGGTACAAACTTGCAGTTATAAGAGGAATAAGCTCTGAAGACCTAATAATGTACAACATGGCGACTATAATTAGTAACAGGGTATTGTAGCCTTGAATGTTGCTGAGAATAGATCTTAAGCTTTCTTACCCCACTCGCCACAAAGTTAACTATGTGAGGTAATGAATGTGTCCATTATCTATCTTGATTTTGATAACAGTTCCATAATGTATATGTATATCAAATCATGACACTGTTAAGTTTAAATATATACAATTATAGAGAACCCAGATATGGACCCTCAAATCTACGGCCAACTAATCTTTGACAAAGCAGGAAAGAATATCCAATGGAAAAAAGATAGTCTCTTCAACAAATGGTGTTGGGAAAATTGGACGGTCATATGCAGAAGAATGAAACTGGACCATTTCCTTACACCATACTCAAATGGATGAAAAATCTAAAAGTGAGAGAGGAATCCCATCAAAATCCTAGAGAACAGGCAGCAACCTCTTTGACCTCAGTCGCAACAATTTCTGGCCAAACATGTCTCCAAAGGCAAGGGAAACAAAGGCAATAATGAACTATTGGGACTTCAAGATACAGAACTTTGCACAACAAAGAAAACAATCAACAAAACAAAAAGACAACCTATGGAATTGGAGAAGATATTTATAAATGTCCTAACAGGTAAAGGACTAATGTCCACAAAATCTATAAAGAACTTACAAACTCAAAACTTCAAAAAGAACAAGTAATCCAAGAAATGGTGAGAAGACATGAAGAGACATTTCTCCAGACATACAAATGGCCAAGAGACACATGAAAAAAATGCTCAACATCACTCGGCATCAGGGAAATACAAATCAAAACCACAATGAGATACCACCTCACACCAGTCAGAATGGCTAAAATTAACAAGTTAGAAAACAACAGATGTTGGCAAGGATGCGGAGAAAGGGGAACCCTCTTACACTGCTGATGGGAATGCAAGCTGGTACAGCCACTCTGGAATGAGGTTCCTCAAAAAGCTAAAAATAGAGCTACCCTATGACCCAGCAATTGCACTAATAGGTATTTAACACAAAGATATAAAGGTAGCGATCCGAAGGGGCACCTGCACCCCATTGTTTATGGAAAGATGTCCATTGACAGATGAATGGATAAAGTGATATATATACAATGGAACATTACTTGGCTATCAAAAAAGTGAAATTTGCCATTTGCAACAAAGAGGATGGAACTGGAGGGTATTATGCTAAGTGAAATAAGTCAATCAGAGAAAGACAATTATCATGATTTCACTCTTATGGAATTTAAGAAACAAAACAAACAGTAGCATAGAGGAAGGGAGGGAAAGATAAAATAAGACAAAATCAGAGAGGGAGACAAACCATAAGAGGTTCTTTTTTTAAAAGATTTTATTTCTTCATTTGAGAGACAGAGAGCACGAACAAGGGGGAAGAGACAGAGGGAGCCACAGACTCCCTGCTGAGCCAGGAGCCCGATGTGGGGCTTGACCCCAGGACCCGGAGATCACAACCTGAGCCAAAGACAGAGGCTTAATCATCTGAGCCACCCAAGTGCCTCAAGAGACCCTAAATCATAGGGAACAAACTGAGGGTTGCTGGAGGGAGTGGGGTTGGGGGATAATGGGGTGATGGGCATTAAGAAGGGCATGTGATGTAATGAGCACTGGGTGTAGGCACCCCTCTACAATACTCTTCAAAAAAAAAAAAAAATCAGTGTTACAGGGAAGAAAAGAGGAGGAGCTGTTCAAGATGTAAAAAGATTAGAGACAAAAACAAATGCAATGTCTAAATTCTGAATATGTCCTAATTTGGAAAAAAAAAAAAACTATAAAAGAGGCACCTGTATGTCTCAGTTTGTTAAGCAACTGCCTTTGGCTCAGGTCATAAGTGGGGAGCTGCTTCTCCCTCTCCTTCCGTCTGCTCGTGCTCCCTCTCTCTCAAATAAATAACAAATACAATTTTAAAAAATAGCTATAAATACAAGACATTCTGAGGATAATTGGTGGATTCTGATTAAGGACTAGATCTTAGCAGTGATAATGGTATTTGCATGTTGAAGTGTCAGGATGTCTGTACTCTCAGTTAAGCAAATATTTATACACACATACACAACTGATGGGTATTCAAAGGTTCGTTGTGTTAGAGACTTTCAATTTTTCAATATGCCTGAAAATTGTCATTAAAAATGTTTAAAAGAAGAATTAGATATAATCTTGACAATGATTTAATCCATTTTCCTCTTTCAACCATGTAAGAAACTGAGCCCAAAGTACCACAGCTAATGCAGGCCTTTTCTCAAGACATTAAAACTGATGCAGGTCTGCACAATCTTAGCACAAACTCTTTCCATGTGGCAGAAAACTAGGACACAAGAGACAAAAACTGATCTGAGACAAACACATACATACAATAAAAAAGCTGTATGTGTGTTTTTTTTAAAAGTAATATTTACACCCAACGTGGGGCTCGAACTCATGATCCCAAGATCAAGTGTTGGATGCTCTTGCGACCGAGCCAGCCAGGCACCCCTCATGCATGTAAAAAAAAGTTAAATACATTTCTTACACTTAATACGTGACAATATGATTAAAAACTGCAAAAGAATAAAAATCTGTTAAAGATTGTAACAACTTAGTACATCAGAATTTTATATAAAATAACCTCAGAATGCAGCATTAAATGGGAAAGAGTTTGTTAGATGCACCAAAACAAAAACAAAAACAAAACAAAAAACCACTTAAATAGTATCACCTATATACTGTCTCCCAACTTGGTCTATTAATTGTGGCAATTCTGCCTTCAAAAAATCTGGTAACATAACTTAATACTTCACATTTCACCTACCCCATCCACAAACTTCTTGCCAGTCCCCCCAGATGCCATGTTTTCTCATATTTCTATACAAGTAATTTCCTCTGCATACAAGATGACCTTCTGCTTTTCTTCCAGCTCCTTCTCTTTCAAGACCCAACTACTTATACTACTTCTTCAGTGAAGTTTTCTGACTCTGCTCCCCACTACTCCCTGAATTTCCATAATACTTTTTCATTGTATCGAAGCTTTTAAAACTTTTCCTAATTAAACATGTGATTCCTCCATTAGACTATAATCCACTTGATATCATAGAGCAGGCCTTATTTGTATCTCTGTTTATAGTTAGCTTCAAGTGCTGGCAATTAGAAATAATGGAAGCTGGCTATTTTTAAAAGTTTCAGGAATGATCATCAACTCACCTAAAAAACAGTGTTTGCCCTGAATTAAAAGTGATAGTTTATCATAAAGCGTAACTGAGTGATCTGAGTCCAGATCTGCCCCTTTGATATAAAGTCACATAGTCCAAAGCACAGAAACTATCTGAACTGATCCAAATAGGTCTGCTTTTGCTTATACCTAGGAGCCAATTACAGTAAACGCAAAAAATTATCTAAAGGGTTTCCTGTGAGGACTTGATCAGAAAAGTCCAAAAATCACTAACTCATTATTTAGTCAAGTCTTCAACAAATGTATATCAAGACCTCACTCACACTCAAGTAAAATTCACTTAAAATGACTCCGACACATTAAGATTTTTTTTTCTTTAGACATCTAACTTCAACAGAAATTCCACTTCTGAAAACACAGCTATAATGGAACTGCCTAAAAGTTTTACTGAAAACATGCAAAAAATGGCATTATAATGCCCAAAGTATACTCGGCAATATTTAACCTCTAAGCTCAATATATGGAATATATTCAAAAACAAACTTGATTCTTACTGACTGCAAGTCAAAGTAGCTGGTGCAAGGTGAAAACATGCTGATTGTTCTTGGCCAACACACATGCATCTTTAAGTACATACGCGTTAGTAAAGTCTCAACCTATGGTCCTTGAACTACCAGTGAATCATGAGGAGCTTGTTGGTAGCCTAGTATGCCCGATAAGCAGAAGCAGAAAGCTGGGTAGGGATGGTGAGGGGCGGCGGGAAGAATCTGGTGCAATGGTCCACCAAATGAAGATAAACCATTCAGGTGGTCTGCAGTAAGGAAAAATGAAGAAAATCACTAAATCAGCAAATTGATCATCATGCCCAATTAATATGATCATGTTGCTAAATGAAGTCAACCTAATGCTTTCTTGAAACAAGCGAAGATGGGGCACCTGGGTGGCTCAGTGGATTAAAGCCTCTGCCTTTGGCTCAGGTCATGATCTTAGGGTCCTGGGATTGAGCCCCGCACCGGGCTCTCTGCTCAGCTCGCGCTTGCTCTCTCTCTCTCTACCTGCCTTCTGCCTACTTGTGATCTCTGTCAAATAAATAAAATCTTTAAAAAAAAAAAGAAACAAGAGAAGAATGTGTTTTGGTAAAAAACCACAAGAGAGATAATTGATTTATTAATATAACAGTACAAGTTCCTTATTATAAGTGATTAACACTCAATAATCACTTTTTTAAAAAAGATTTTATTTATTTATTTATTTATTTATTTGACAGAAAGAGAGAAAGAGAGATCACAAGAAGGCAGAGAGGCAGGCAGAGAGAGGAAGGGAAGCAGGCTCCCCAGCGAGCAGAGAGCCCGATGCAGGGCCCGATCCCAGGACCCCGAGATCATGACCTGAGCCGAAGGCAGAGGCTTTAACCCACTGAGCCACCCAGGTGTCCCCTCAATAATCATTCTTATCAGAAGACTCACCTAAGTATAGTACTACTAGCAAGATGCTGCCAAAGCTTTTCATTTACAATAAAAAATCAGATAAAAGATAGGTGTTAGAGACTAGGGCTATCAAAAAATCAGAAGAATGATGATCCTCATCATTTCTAATGGCTTAAAGATTTTAAAGATTCTATTCACAGCATACAGCACTAGCAAATGATTCCTAAATACAGTCAGAGGTGAAAAAAGAGTCCATTTAATATCCATAGCAAGAATCTTTAAAAAATGCCATTCCAACATAAATTCCAAGACAATACTGACTGGGAAGAAACATCAACCCTTTATATGCTAGAAAATTGAGAACAAAAGGGGACTAGCCCAATAGAAGGTAGCTTATTCGGTAGGGGCTACAACATCCCATGTCAATTTTTAATATAAATTCAAGTGCTTAAATCTCATCCCAAAGAGTATTCTCCATATCTTAGTATCTTCCAACTGTAGCACCCCTGACCTAAATTAAGTTCTCATAACCTACCAAACTTACCTACCCAGAATTCCACTGTATTTCCAACCTATAGCTTCTTGCTGCCTTATTTTCCTTTAGGTCTTTCCCCACAGATATACTCCTCCTGGTAAAATCAAGCACCTTCTACTTTACATCAAGTAAATGCCTTCTGGGGTGCTTGGGTGACTCAATCAGTTAAGTGTCAGAATTTCGGATTTCAACTCAGGTCATGATCTCAAGGTCATGGGATTGAGCCCCACATCGGGATCCCTGCTCATCAAGGAGTCTGCTAGAGTTTCTCTCTCTCTCTCCCCCACTTTCCCGTTTCTTTCTCTCTCAAGTAAATCTTAAAAAAAAAAAAAAAGGAAATACCTCCTATTTCATAGTACATCTCTCTCCAATTGGTATAAAATTTTATGCACTCTGCTTATAAAAACCTCAGAGCTACCAACGCTGAAAATATGAAAAATTTTTACTTCCACTGTTACAGACTAAATCTTCAGTCCTCCTCATGCTCAATTCTGCCTCATTTTTTAATTATAGACTCAGCCCTAAGAGTAGAAGCATAAGAAAATTCAGTAAACCACCTCGTTAGATGATGTGTAGTATGGAACACTGAAAATACATAAAGAGGAGATAATGATATTCTTGGTGAAGAAAGAAACAAGGTTTTGTAGAGAAATGTGTTTGTTCTAACATACACTAACCTCAAAAGAGCTACTGGAGGGGTGCATGGGTGGCTCAGTGGGTTAAAGCCTCTTGCCTTCGCCTTGGGTCATGATCCTGGGGTCCTGGAATCAAGCCCCACATCGGGCTCTCTGCTTGGCAGCGAGTCTGCTTCCCCCTCTCTCTGCCTGCCTCTATGCCTGCTCGTGATCTCTGTATACCAAATAAATAAATAAAATCTTAAAAAAAAAAAAAAAAGAGCTACTGGAATATTCTGGGGTTGAATGCTCAAGAAGTCTATCTTGAGTTTGGTTGTAATAAACTACAGGTAGAATTCTCCAAACACCACACCAGAATGAGAAGTTAACAAACCAAGTTATTTTCTGAAATTGTAAGAATGGTGTGTTCAAATATAATCAGATCTATAAACTTCAAAGGCAGATGACAGGACTGATTTCCTGTTTCCCAATAATTCAACAAAATTTAGTATACTGACCATCTACTACTATGGTCACGCCCTGATTAGAGGTAATCACCTCATTTCTCCATCTTCTGTGAAATTTTGATGACTCAATTCTTAGCACTTTCCTCCCTTTTTTACTTACTTATAAGTAGCATTTATTTTTATACCTCAGTCAACCTCCCCCAGCTGACTCCAAAATCCACATTCATAACCTGAACATCTAGGAGTTCCATACCTAAACTTCTGTACCATCCAACACGATGTCCCAACTTAAAAATTCTGTCAGCTAAACCTTAACATACTGAAAGGCAAACTACAGATTGCCCAAGATAGCTCTTTCTTATTCCCCAAATCTGCCAGGCCATCTCAATATTCCTGGTTATCCAGATTCACAAATACGGGATTACAGATCTCCTCGACTGATAACAAGTTACATCCCAATACACCCATCATAAATTGAAAACTATGAATCCTAAGTTGAAAATGCATTTAAGGGGTGCCTGGGTGGCTCAGTGGATTAAAGCCTCTGCCTTCCGCTCAGGTCATGATCTCAAGAGTCCTGGGATCCAGAACCGCATCAGGATCCCTGCTCAGCAGGGAGTGTTTCTCCCTCTTTTGCTCACTCACTCTGTCTCATAAAAATCTTCAAAAATAAAAAAGAAATTACATTTAATACAACTAACCTATAGAACATCAAAGCTTAGCCTAGCCTACCTTAAATGTGCACAGAACACTTACATTAGCCTATAGTCAGGCAAAATCATTTAACATAAAGCTTATTTTATAATGAAGTGTCGAATATCATAAAATTTATTGAATGCTATACTGAAAAACAGAATAGTAAGTCTATTGGTTGCTAACCCTTATGACCACATAGCTGACTGGGAGCTGCAGCTTGCTGCCACTGCCCAGTATCACAAGAGACTCTCATACCACCTATCACCAGCCACAAAGATCTAAATTTAAACCGTGAAGTATGGTTTCTACTGAATGTGTATGTATCACTTTGTACCATCATAAAATTCTAAGACAGAAAAATTGTAAGGTGAGCCATTATAAGTCAGGGGACTGTGTGTACTTTATTTTCTTTTATGTATTCTTATATCCAATAAATTACCAACTCATGCCATTTTTTTTCCTATTGGGTTCCTCCCTTTAGTCTCTTTTCACTATAAGCAATCCTGTACCAGTGCTTCTCCAACTTTAATATGCATAGGAACCATTTGAAAATCTTGTTAAAAATGCAGATTCTGATTTATTAGGTCATGGGTGGGGCCTGAGATTCTGTACTTCTAACATACTCCCAGGTTCCTGCAAAGCTGCTGGTCCAGGGACCATATCTTTAGGCAGCTCAGATCACTACTTTCTTTTATTCCCTCAGGACTTGCACAGTTTATCCTATGGTATATTTATCTGTTTACATAGTGTTTTATAGTTATTTCATGTATGCATATTTTATTATGCTTTCCTTAAAAAAAGGATTTTGATATACTCAAGAAATAAGATCATGATTCCTTTTTTTGGAACAAGAGCAACATATTGTGGGTATTCAATGCCTGTTGATTGTAAAATGCTTGTGCAGAAAATATAACAATCCCCTCTTGATTAAGAAGTTGAAGTAGGTTTATGGATTACTTTCATCAACTTTCTAAAAAGCATTTCATTGCTAATCAACCTTATCACCATATACAGAAAAGAAACTTAAAACAGCTTTCTATTCATAGTTAAGAAAGCAAATTGTTAGTTAAGTTAGACTGTGAATTATTGGTTATAGATTTATTCTTTCTCCATCAGTGAAGAATTAAATACATTTAAAACAAAAACTAGAAGCCCAGGGGCGCCTGGGTGGCTCAGTGGGTTAAAGCCTCTGCTTTCGGCTCAGGTCATGATCTCAGGGTCCTGGGATCAAGCCCCACATTGGGCTCTCTGCTCAGCAGGGAGCCTGCTTCCCTCCCTCTCTCTCTGCCTGCCTCTCTGCCTACTTGTGATCTCTGTCTGTCAAATAAATAAATAAAATCTTAAAAAAAAAAAAACAAAAAAAAACTAGAAGCCCAGGCAGCAAAAGAAAAAATAAATTGGACTCCATTAAAATTAAAAACTTTTATGTATCAAAGGACATCATCAAGAGAGTATAAAGACAGGGGAAGAGGGGAGCAGCAGGAGTGGCAGAGGCAGAGGGACAAGCAGACTCTGCCAAGGGCAGAGCCAGATGCAGGACTCGATCTCATAACCCTGAAATCATGAGAGTCAGATGCTTAACTGAGTGAGCCACCTAGATGCCCCCTGGGGGGGAAAAAGTAAAAAGACAACCCAAAAATGGGAGAAAATATTTGCAAATCATCCCTGTGATATGGATTTAATGTACAGAATATATAAAGATCTCCCACAACCAACAATAACAAAAACCCAAAATAACACAATTAAAAAATAGCCACAGGGCTTAAACAGACGTTTCTCCAAAGAAGATAAACAAATGTCCAAGAAGCACGTTAAAAGATGCTCAACATTACTAGTCATTAGGGAAATGCAAACCAAAACCACAGTGAGATAGCACTTCATACCAACTACAATGGCTATAATTTTAAAAATGGGAGATTAGGGCGCCTGGGTGGCTCAGTGGGTTGAGCTGCTGCCTTCGGCTCAGGTCATGATCTCAGGGTCCTGGGATGGAGTCCCGCGTCAGGCTCTCTGCTCAGTAGGGAGCCTGCTTCCCTCTCTCTCTCTGCCTGCCTCTCTGTCTACTTGTGATCTCTCTCTGTCAAATAAATAAATAAAATCTTTAAAAAAAAATGGGATATTAGTGTGGGTGAACATATGGAGAAACTAAAACACTTGTAATGTTGCTGCTAGAATGTAAAACAATGCAGCTACTGTGGTAAAGTCTGGCAGTTCCTCCAAAAGGTAAACCATTTAACCTAGCAAGAATTACCATATAACCTAGCAATTCCACTCTTAGGTGTATTATAACCAAAAGACTCAAAAACAGGGACTCAAACAGCTCTTTGTACACCGAAGTTCATAGCCACTTATAATAAACAAATGGCCATCAATAGTAGAATGGATAAACAAAATGTGGTATATACATACAATGGAATATTATTCAGCCATAAAAAGAATGAGGTACTGTTATTTACTACCACGGGATGAACCCAGACATTATGCTAAGTGAAATATACCACAAACAAAAGAATAAATATTGTATTATTCCACTTATATGAAATATCTAGACTTGATAAATTCATAGAGACAAAACCTAGATTTAGAAGTTAACAGGGGTTGGGAAAGAGGAGCAGCAGTATTGCTTAATGGATCCAGAGTTTCTGCTGGGAGAGATGAAAAATTTTGGAAATACACAGTGGTGATGGTTGCATACTGAATTATACACTTAATGCCACTGAATTATACACTTAAAAATGGTTAAAACGGCAAATTTTGTATGTACTGTATCACAAGCTAAAAAATGAAACCGGAAAAAAAGAGAAATTTTTTAGTACAGCTCTGAGTTCAAGTTTCTGACTATTTGTAAGCTATGTGATGTTAAGCAAGTTATTTAATTTCTCCCAGCTTCAATCCATCCATAAAATAGAGATATTATCCAACTCCCAGAGTTGTTGAAGACTAAATGAGAAAATAATCACTTAGCACAACACTTCTTACATAACAAATACTGGGTAAGTGGTAGTTAATATTACTCAAAAACCACCATTAATCAAGTAGGTAGACTATAAGGTTGCTATAAATGAATACCCAAAAAAATTCCATGATATTCTCATGACATTCTGAAATAAAGAAATGAATGCACAGCAGTCAGTTATCCTGCTGTAAACCTGGAAACTTATGACCACCAAGGGTTAGTCCTCTTGGGATATTACTGAACCTAAGAATAAATGACAAACCCAGAAAGTAAGAACCTACTTTGTACATTATTGTGTTCATTAAAGAGGTGAACAACAAAAAAAAAAAAGCTCGTTAGCTCCCTTCAACTAATCTCATTTTACTGTTTTCCCCACATATATATATATATTTTTTTAATTTATTTATTTAAGATTTTATTTATTTATTTGACATAGAGAGACACAGCAAGACAGGGAACAGAAGCAGAGGGAGTGGGAGAGGGAGAAGCAGGCTTCCCACTGAGCAGAGAGCCCAATCCCAGCACCCTGGAATCATGACCTGAGCTGAAGGCAGAAGCTTAACGACTGAGCCACTCAGGTGCCCTGTCACGTATTTGTTTTTAAAATCATGAGATTTAATTCATTAGCCAATGCCATGGACTAACATAAAGCCTTGTCTAAAGGCCCTCAGTTCCAACCCCAGCATCACAGTATCACTATAATAAGGCAGAGAACCACACAGAATATGCTGTTAAAAAATGTTCTAGGAGCATGGAAGCTTGGAGTGAACTGCTAAATAATTGCATATAATGTATATAATATAGTTGTCTTGATGAAAATTAGGCATTTAAAAAACTCACAAACAATTCTAGGCAAAGTATGCCAGAGGAAAATACTACAAATGATTCCAAAATAACATGTAACACAAATCTTAAAATGTAAATTAAGCAATTTCCGTATCCTAAGGTCTTTTGCAAAAATTTCCCAAATTCCTTCAAAGAAGTAAATCACCAAGTAAGGAAGTTTTTCTCATGTACCACAATTAACTTGCATACATAAGAGACTTAGATCCAGAGGGAAAGGGAAAGTACAGTATCTCAAACAGCCAAAAAGGTTTTTAAAAAGGTCATTTTTTTTTTTTTACTAAGACTAGCTAATCCTCAAGAGTCAAGTCAATCTAAAATGGTGAGATTCCACATTACATTCAATAACATTGTGAATGTAATTAAAAAGGTCATGAAAAGCATCAGAAGACTTTATTTTTACTTCATGTTGATAAAAGAATTTTTCATAACCCAAACATCCTGATTAAAACTATGAACCATTATGTTTGAAAAGCGAATGATCTGTGCCAACACCCTTAGGAAAAATAGTTTTTCTCTTCTCAACAAAAACCTACTAATATAAGCAAAAACTATTTAATGTGTTAACCTGAAACACTCACCTGAGCTAATTCCTTTAAACCACAATTAACTCTTAACTATCATGACAATAATGACGAATAAAGGCTTCCACAATTAAATTCCAGAAACAATCCTTTTATCCCACACAGCTCCTTCCTCCATCCCAGTTACATGAGGCCCACACTTCCTCTTCAGGAGAAAATAAGGAGGTTTTGATAGTTGGTGTTTCTTTTTTCTAAACTTTACTTTGGAAAGGTACAGCACAGCTTAAAGTCCAGAGAACTCAGTTCTCAAGGAAACTGATACTAGGGCTATCTAACTAGACACCACTGGCAATAAATTACCAGAAGCTAAGACTTCATGCTTTTAAAGACCCATGCTAATAATGCCTGGCTGGTCATAAGTCAGGTTACCAAAAGGCTTAACGAAATTGGCTCAAGTTCATTAGCAAGAAGGAAAAGATGTTTATTAAAAATTCTGAGTGCAAAAAAATTAAATTTAATTGAAACTAAATACTACCTATAGCATGTACTAATATATTTTAGTACCATTAGTGATCACCTCACTTGCAGGCAGAATCACTGTGAACGCCCCCCAATCTGATCTTACCCCAGAGCTGTTTTAAAATCATACCCTTTTTGGGACGCCTGGGTGGCTCAGTTGGTTGGACGACTGCCTTCGGCTCAGGTCATGATCCTGGAGTCCCAGGATCGAGTCCCGCATCGGGCTCCCAGCTCCACGGGGAGCCTACTTCTCTCTCTGACCTTCTCCTCGCTCATGCTCTCTCTCTCTGTCTCTCTCTCAAATAAATAAATAAAATCTTAAAAAAAATTTTTTTTAAATCATACCCTTTTTATCTCCTGCTTTGTTATCACTGAGGATCTCACTGTTAATGTGCCACCAAATAATGCTATGACATGAAATGCACTGTTAAATACCATTTGCACGTACAAGTTTTTTTCAAGACACACTTCACTGAACTCTTAAACTATCTGCCCAGGATTTAATCATACAGGAAACCCACAGATTTTAATGAGGTGGCATGGCAAAATATCATGTAATTCAGGAAATTCATCAGCCAAATGTTAGGTATACACAGTTTATAAGTGGAGCTCAAGTGAGAGGGCAAGCAACTGGTCTAAAGCTAGTATAAGAAAAAGTTGTAGACCCTCTCATCCCCAAACGACTTAGTTTAGGAACTTATAAATACGCCCCACATTCTGAGACATCTAACAGAAGGTTGGAACAAAACCAACACAGTCATCTTTGCTATTCCTAGCTGTTTCTTCTTTCACTAAAACATTCTGCCCTCTACACAAGCTACAGAGTGGACTCAGGCAACGATCATTTAAGTAAAGGTAGAATTAATTTTCTTATTACACCGCTATACTACAATGCCGCCTGAATAAAAAAGCTAGCCTCAGCAAACCATTTACAAGAAATCAGAAGTGCGTTCCGTGTTAGAAAACTTTTAAAGTACTGATCCTACGAAGCTAAGTCGGACTCTCGTATTTGTGCTTTTATCCTACATATTTTCCTTTACGTAAGGCGGATAGGAATTTGACTAGCCCACCCCGACAGCAAACTGGCCCAGCACCCGCATGCTGTAGCTAGAAGCCACGTTTTCCTCGGGCGGACTGTTTCCCAACCCCTCCTTAAAATAATGCGTGTGGCCACTTGAGACTTCCCCAGCCAAGCTCCAGAAACTTGCAGGTTTAAATGGCCAAACTGGAACCAACCAGGGCAGCTGTCATCTGAAACTCAGGAAAGCTGAGACCAGCCAACTCTGCTGAACGAGGAAGGGTGCGGAGAGATGTGGCGGGGCCCGTCGGAGGGAATGCATTAGGCTCCCCTCCCCAACCCCCCCCCATCAATTCTCTTTTCTGCAACCCCACCGCCGCCATCCTGTTCCTGAATAATTAAACGGGCTGGGGAGGGAGTGAGGTGGCCAAGAAAGGCAGTTTCTAGTCGGAGTTTCCCGAGCCGAGGCGGTGGGGTCTAGAGGCCGAGGGCTACATCCCGGGCGTGCGAAGGACTTTCCTCAGGGACCGGGAGGGCAGGGGGCGACCCCGCGGCCCGCGGGGCGGCCGGAAGCGGAGCGCGGGGAGTGACGTGGAGGAGGGGATGACAAAGGGGCGCGGGGGCCCCGGCCGCGCGGGCCGCGGGCCCGCAGGAGCCGGGACAGGTGGCCGGGCCTGGCCGGGAACAATGGGGGGCCGAGGCTGCCCCCTGGCGCTCACCTACCTCCGGTGCCCTCCGAGTTCTCGTTGAGGCTGCCCGAGGAGTCGTGCTGGGCGCCCACACACCCGCCCATGGGGGCCCCCGGCGCCTCGTCCGCCACCTCCGGGCGCTCGTCCGGCCCGCCGCCTCCTCTGCCTCCTCAGGCGCCGCCGCCGCCACCGAGCCCCGGACAGGCGCGGCGCTTCTCTCGCCCGCCGCGGCCCAGCCTCCGCCCCCCTCGCCGCTCCACCCACCGCCTTGGCTCGGCCCCTTCCTCCGCGCCCACTTCTACCTCAGTCCCCCGGCCGCCCGCCCAGCAGGCCTGGCCCGCGCGCCGCCCTCGCCTCCGGCTCGGCCCCGCCAGGCCAGGGCTGGCCCATCCCGGGCGGGCCGCAGCGCCCGCCTCGCCCCTCACACCTCCGCACTCCCGCGTCCAGGCGAGCCCCGCACCGGCGCCGCCCGTCCGCCAGACCCCATCAGCCCCCGCCCCGCGGCGCCGCCCTCCGCACCCGCGGCCTGGGCTCCGCCGGGCCCGCCCGGAACGGCCTGCGGGGGCGGGGCCGCGGGAGGCCGCGCGATGATTGGCTGCGGGATGGGGCCGCGAGCGGAGAGCTTGGGCGGTGGGGAGGAGAGGGGAGGGGATCTCCGAGCTCGAGGAGCGGAGGCGAAGCGGGGATCCGTCCGGGGGAAGAGGCAGGGAGAGGAGGCGAGGAGGGATAGGCAAAGAAGAAAAGAAGGGGAAGAAGGGAGAGCCAGCAGGAAAGGAGGAACAAAAGTGAGGAAGGAGAAGCGGAGAGGGGTGAAATCGAGTTTGTGGCTCCTCCTCGGGCGTCAGCCCTTTCTCTTTCTCGTGGAAGCGGGTCGGAGTGGGCACTGAGAAGTAGTCAAAGAAGCCTTGCAGGCGGGGACGGGGCTGGTTCCCAAATAACTGGCGGAGGTGGGTAGGAGGACCTGCCTGAAGGCTGAGATCCCAGAACGTGTAGAATTCAGTGGTTGGGTACGCGGAGTCTGGGCTTCCCCTTGCCTGCCCCGCTCCCAAGCCCCCCTCCCAAATCACTGTGCCCCATTATTAGACGTAGAGGCGGTCATTGTGGTTGCAAGCTGGACTCGGATTACAGAGGCGAGGCATTCCATGGAGAGATAAGCGCGGACCGTAGTTCTGAGGGCGTGGGTTCATTTCATCTTCACGGGACTGATTATTCAAATACAATGCTACTTCTCAAGATCCTCCCTTTAGGTATCTTAAATCGTCTTTAGAACAAAATGAAGTATTAAAAAAATAAAATACCCTGCTTTTTCTAAACTGGAATTTAGTACATGGACCACGCCCGACATTCTTGGCGGTCGCTATCCTAATCTAAGCCAAATTGTTAATGGTCCCTTCAGAATTGTGTTCTGCAATGATGCCTTAAAATTTTTATCAGCCGGCTTGGGCCTTTATAAAGCTTATTTCTGCCCAAACTGTTTTAACTATCTGCTCCATTTTTATATCAGACTTTCTTTTTTTAACATCCTGGGTCGGCTTTTGCTTAGCATTAAAAAAATTTTAAGTGAAATACCTAAGAAAGAGATTCTGCAGCTTGGAATTTGCATTTAAATGTATTTTCATACACTGCTGGTGGGAGTGTAAATTGGTTCAATCTTTTTGCAAAGTAATTTGGAAACAAGGATCAAGAACCTTAAAAATGTTCATACCTTTTGACTTGGCATTATCCCACACATGGGTATCTCGTTCACAGAAACAGTTCAAAAGGCAGAGAAAGATTTCTGTCCTTGTATTTATTTGATAATCAGATACAACTGAGGGTTTGACAAACCAAATCTTATGCTTACATAAATACACAGAAATGTCTAGTGAGAAATAGAAATCTGCTATATGAAATTTATACTGACAAATTAGTATTGTCCTGGCTAGTCATGAAAATTCAAAAAAGCTTCTATACAATCATGTTTTTATGAGTTTTCAGAGGCTGCTCTGACATTCAGGTACTGTGTCACAAAGCCCTCTTCTATCTGATCATTCTCAGCTGAGTCTTCACATTGGCAGGGAGACATCACTTCATCACTTCCCTGAAGGAGAGAAGCTGCATGTTGATATCTTCAAAGGATTGCTTTGTCCTGAATTTTGCTCTAGAAACTGCAGAAACCAAGACTTTCACAATGCCTATTAGACAGATGATAGGCATCCAAGTGATGAGTGTTTCTGATGAGCACTAAGGAGTTGCCCTAGGAAGAGAGAGCCATGTCACTGGGAGATTTTCAGTTATGAGTATTCTCTACCTTGCTTCTATCTTAGGACAGAATCACAAATCCCCAGGAGAGAGAGTCATGTGGCAATTAAGGGCCCCAGCTCTGCTATCAACTTCCTGGGTTGGAATCTGGCTTCCATTCTATACTAGCTACATGACCTTGAATTTCTATACAGCTCAATTTCCTCACCTGTAAAACTGGGCCAGTAACAATGCTCTAAACTCTGTGGGGGCTCTTTATTAACTCTCCTCTACTTCATGTCTAACATCACCTATTTAAACTTAATGCATGGCTCAATCCACTTAAGACCTTCTATAGATAACAGTGTCTTCTTTGTGCACCCGTGTATGTGTGTATGTATGTGTTTCTCTATTTTTTATAAAATAGAATTCATATACCATATATCTCACCAATTTAAAGTGCATAATTCAAATTGGTATAGCCACTATGGACAACAGTATGGAGGTTCCTCAAAAAGTTAAAAACAGAACTACCATATGATCCAACAATTCCAATTCTGGGTATTTATCCAAAGAAAATGAAAACATTTGGAACACCTGGGTGGCTCAGTCGGTTAAGCATCTGCCTTCAGCTCCGGTCATGATCTCCGGGGTCATGGGACTGGGCCCTGTATTGGGCTCCTTGCTCAGCGGGGAATCTTCTTCTCCCTCTCCCTCTGTGTTTGCTCTCTCTTTCAAACAAATAAATCTTTAAAAATAAAAGAAATGAAAACATTAACTTAAAAAAATGTATGCAGCATTATTTACAAGAGCCAAGACGTGGAAACAAGTGCCCATCAGTAGATGAATGGATAAAGAAAATGTGAGAGATAGATAGATACACATATTCACACAATGGAGTATTATTCAGCCATGAAAAAGAATGAACTCTTGCCATTGTGACAACATGGATGGACCCTGAGGACATTATCCTAAGTGAAATAAGTCAAACAGAGAAAGAGAAATACCTTATGATCTCACTTTTAAGTGGGACTTAAAACAACAATAAAGACAAAACCACTCCAAGCCCATAGATACAGAGAATGATTGGTGGTTGCCAGAGGTGTGTGTGTGGGGGGGAGGAGGGGGCATGGCAGAAGAATAAGTGAAGGGGTCAAAATGTACAAACTTCCAGTTATGAAATAAGTCATGGGGTTGTAATGTACAGCACAATGACTATAGTGAATACTACATTGCATATTTGAAAGTTGCTGAGGGAATAAATCTAGAAAGTTGTTTTTTTTTTTTAAGATTTTATTTATCTATTTGACAGAAAAAGAGAGAGAGACAGTGAGAGAGGAAACATAAGCAGGGTGGTGGGGGGTAGTTGGAGGAGGAGAGGTAGGCCTCCTGCCCAGCAGGGAGCCCGACACAGGGCTTGATCCCAGGACTCTGGGATCATGACCTGAGAAGAAGGCAGATACCCAATGACTGAGCCACCCAGGCACCCCAAAATCTTGAAACTTTTCATTACAGGAAAAAAAATTTTATAACCATGTATGGTGATGGATGTCAATTAGACTTATTGTGATAATTTTGCAATATATACAAATATAGAATAACTATGTTGTACACCTGAAACTAACAGATTGTTATATGACAATTATACCTTGATTAAAATAAAAATAAAGTGTACAGTTCAATGGGTTTTAGTATATTTACAATCAGTTTTAGAATATTTTCATCACCTCAGAAAGAAACCCCATACCTATTAGCAGTCACTCCCCATTTGCTCCCAACTAAAAGCCCCAGTCCAGGCAACACTAATCAACTTATTGTCTCTATATTTTGTCTATTCTGGACATTACATATAAATGGAATCATATTAGGTCTCTCGTGGCTGATTTCATTTACGTAGCATAATGTTTTCAAGGTTCATCCATATTGTTTAATGTTTTAATGTATCGGTACTTCATTCTTATTTCTGGCTGATTAATTTTCTATTGTGCGGATATAGCACATTGCATTTATCAGTTGATGAGCATTTAGGTTGTTTCTGTTTTGGGGGTACTATGAATAAAGCTGTTGTGAACATTCCCATACAAGTTTTTGTCTGGACATATGTTTTCAATTATTCTGGATATATACCTATGAGTGGAATTTTTTGGGCCTATGGTAACTCTATGTTTAACTTTCTGAGGAGTTGACAAAGTATTTTACAAAATGTCTATACCATTTTACATTCCCACCAGCAATTTATAAGGAAATGTGAAATGATACCGCTGTTTTTTTTTTTAAGATTTTATTTATTTATTTGTCAGAGAGAGAGAGAGAGAGAGAGAGCGAGCGAGCATAGGCAGACAGAGTGGCAGCCAGAGGCAGAGGGAGAAGCAGGCTCCCCACAGAACAAGGATCCCGATGTGGGACTCGATCCCAGGACGCTGGATCATGACCTGAGCCGAAGGCAGCTGTTTAACCAACTGAGCCACCCAGGTGTCCCGATACCGCTGTTTTTGATATGTAGGGTATCTTATTATAGTTTTGACTTGTATTTTCTAATGACTAATAATGTTGAATGCCTTTTTATGTACTTACTGACCATTTGTATACCAGTTTTTGGAAAAATGTTTACTCACTTTGCACATTTTAAAATAGTATTGTCTCTTTATATTGAGTTTTAAATGTTCATTCTATATTCTGACTACAAATCCCTTAGCAGATATATGATTTGCAAATATTTTCTCCTGGTAGTGTCCTTTAAAGCATGACAGTTTTTAATTTGCATAAAGTTCATTTTTCCAATTTTTTCTTTGGTTACTTATGCTTTGGGGCTCATGTCTAAGAAACCACTAACATAAAGTCATGAAGATCTACACCTCTTTTCCCCGAAGAGTTTGATAGTTTTAGCTCTGACATTTAGGTCCTTAAACCCACTTTGAGTTAATTTTTTAGTATGGTGTGAGGTAGGGGTCCAATTTCATTCTTTTGCATGTGGATTTCCAGTATTCCACCATTTGTTGAAAAGACCATTCTATTCCCCATTGAATTGTCTTGGCATTCCTGTTGAAAACCAATTAACCATAAATGTATCAGTTTATTTCTATACTCAATTCTATCCCATTAGTCTTTTTTTTTCCCTAAGGTCGGGATTGTTTGTTTGTTTGTTTGTAAGAAAGCACTATGTCCCATATGGGGCCATGTATCCTGAAGGAGTTGCCTTAGAGAAGCTCTCTGCACTGCAGGAACTAGACAAGGGACAGGCTCACATATCTCAGAAGCTGGGCCCTGG